GCAAAACCAAAAATCATCTATAATTTAGTATTCGTTTGGCTTTGTTTTACATTGACATTGTCAATTTAAGAGATATTCTCTTTTACAATTATTTCTAGAATTTGTTTTCATTGCCCAAAAAAAAAAAAAAAAAATCTGCAACGAAAAAAAAAAAAAAAGGAAAAGCAATTCCCACCTATTTGGTGGGAATTGCAATTCACTAAAAAGCTAGAAAAGCCATCACGTGAGGCGAGAAGTGGAAAATGAATTCCATGCCAATTTTTTGCCATCAAACACACTTAAAAGATGGAAAATGGTTCCAAGTTCCATGGAAAAGGAGGGCTATCAAACGGTGCCTTAATTTAATTAGTATTTAGTCCTGGACCTCAAATTTTTAGTTTTCACTTGTAGTAGTTTGTTTATGATTTTATTCACAACTATCGCTGTATCTAAATATGTTAGCTTTCTTATCACTGCTTTTAATTTAGAGATGATGTGAATATTATATTGTTGGAACTTTATAACTTATTTTGATTGTGACCACGTCAACTCAATCAGTTAGCCCCCGTTTGAGCCCCATTATTTCTCATTACATTAAATTAAATTTTTCTCTCTCCCACTTTTAACCACACAATCTTCAATAAAATGATATTACACGTAAATCAAAAAATTTTCAACCACTCATTTTTCAAAAAAACACTATTCATTTCATTATAATCTACAAATATTGGGGCTTAAACAGCCCTTTAATATGTGACAATGTAACTGCCGTAATTACTTGTTCCCTACTGGAAAATTATTGTTTCATTGTGTGCATCTTTACTCCACTACTTACAAAATGTGTATATTACTCTGTGCAACTAATTTCTGATGATTTATCATGTTAGTGCAAATATTGCATGTTGACATCTATATCGGTTTTTAAAGTTTGAAGACCAATATGCAACTGCCTGTTCCATCCCTCTCTTGTATTTCTGTTTGCGGGAATTTCTGGGCTTGTCAACAGATGGACATAAAGCACAGCATGTGATTCAATAAAAGGATAATAATCAATAATAATCATACTGTCCTACTACATTTCTTAAATTACAAATAATATATGGAAACTAGTTGATCTAACATGCTGAGTAATTTATTCGACTGGACTTGGTTGCATACTTAGTCTTGTAGCATTCCCCACCCTTCCTCAAATTTCTGTACCCCTCCCGACCAAAAAATGAGGAACTCTCAAAAACATCGGAGTGAAGGTAAAAACTGCCATCTTTATCCATCATTTTTCTGTTTTTTGGTTTCAAATGAGTGAAAAAGATCACATTGACTATCTGTCAACATTTTTACTTTTGATAGCTATTTTGGTTTCAAGCATATAAAAATGGATTACATTAATTAATTGATAGAATTTTTATTTTTGATGGGTTGAGACAAATGAAGAAAATATCGCATTAATTTAACAGGTTTAGTCGAACTCCATGGTTCTGAACCTTGCTGTATGCATGTAATTGACATTTAGTTTTTGAATCATTTCTGGTCTTCTACATTTTTTTTTTTAAATTTTTGGTATGGTGGACACTTGTGTATCCTTGTCAACTTGCTTTTGTCCTTTTGGCCATTAGTTTCTTTGATTTCATAATTCATCATAATTCACTATCAAAACATAATTTTTCCTGTGGTGGATTGACATGACCACTGGAATTCTCTTCTCTTTTTTAACCCCCCCCAAACACACACACACACACACACAAAGCCATTCTCCCTCTTATTAATAAAATTTCCATTTGAAGTAGAAATGAATTTAACATAATATTGCTGATTCAGTTTATTACCTTCCTATTAATGTAGAAAATATTTTTCATGTCCTAAAGATGTTAAATGATATCTTTGCAGAATATTTTCAAAATAAGTTGGTGGAGACTATACACTTTATGGAAATTCTTAATTTGAAAGACAGTGTTGAAAAGGATATCTTTTTTCGTAAGCTTCCAAATCTTGCCGAACAGCTTCCTCGCCAGATAGTCCTGAAAAAGGTAAGCTGTGGTATTCTGTGGGGACATTTTTCCTCATTTTAAAGTATTTAAACGATTGCATTTTTGGCTTCTCGCAGTTGCTTCCATTACTAGCATCTGCCTTAGAATTTGGTTCAGCTGCTGCACCTGCTTTGACAGCATTGTTGAAAATGGGTTCTTGGCTTTCAGCTGAAGATTTTAGTCTCAAGGTTCAAATCTTCCATATCTTTTTGCAACCTTGTATTTCTTTCTTTTACATGCCTGAGCTTTACCATACCATAAATAAAGTGTGTACTTATGATTAAACTCGGGTTTTACTTTCTTGATTGACATTCCTAATCTCTGTTTGTAGTTACTACCAACAGTCGTCAAACTTTTTGCATCAAATGATCGTGCTATTCGAGTTGGTCTTCTGCAGCATATTGATCAATTTGGCAAGTCGTTATCCTCACAAGTTGTTGATGAACAAGTATGCAGTCATATAATGACAATCAAAATATTCAATCTCTCCTATGATTCTTTCATATTATATTATGTAGGATAACTGGTGGTAGAAAAGTGTAATGTTTGTTTCTGTAGGTTTACCCTCATGTTGCTACTGGCTTTTCCGACACTTCTGCTTTTCTACGGGAATTGACACTCAAATCCATGCTTGTTCTTGCTCCTAAGGTATGGCCCTTATTTTCCTGCCTGTTTACATTTAGTTTAGAGACTTGTAAGGTATAATATTCTCCAATAGGATTGGGGAACCTATTCATTTTATGAACATGCATTAATTTGGAGAATTTGCATAGGCCAGAAATTCTCTGTTTGTGTCTATAAGTTGTTAAAATTTAATGCTTAAAAGTCTTTCTGGAAACTCTGAATCTTCACTTCTCTTTCCTCGTTGCTGTGAGTGGTCAAGAAATCTTTTAATAAACATTTTTATAGGCATTTCTCACAGGTGTATGCACTGGTGTTGAAGTCTATATTAGGAGCATTTTTTCTGTTTGGTAGTTAATTATTTTATTGAAATTGGATAATTAGAAACTTGATTAGTGAAATTACTGGCATGAGATTGTGGGACAAATATATAGATGCATGGATTGACTGATGGTTGAGCTTGCAGTAGCTTCTGGTTTTGATTCCTGATACCTCTATTTCATTTTTGTTTCTTTTTTTCTTCTTACAGTTGTCTCAGCGCACTATATCAGGGTCATTACTGAAATTTCTTTCCAAACTACAGGTATACACAAATATGAGTTAAGCAATCTGAGGGTAAATAGATCTGGCATTCTTTTTGCCAACATAGTTAAATTTATTTGTGAATTGTGTACATTGATACGCATGATTTGGTTTTGACTTTTCTATGGATTTAGGTGGATGAAGAACCGGCAATTAGAACAAATACTACTATATTGCTCGGAAATATTGCAAGCTACCTTAATGACGGGGTCAGTGCCATGACCCTCCAATATTTCCTTTTCTATAACGATACTATAACTTCGAAGAAGTTGATTGTTGAGTGAGTCAATGGTCAAAATTGTCGTACATTTCTGGGATAAATCAATTGGTGAGAAAAATTGCTAATTAAGAAAGCACTACAATGCAGATGAGGAAAAGAGTTCTGATAAATGCATTTACAGTTCGAGCTTTGCGTGATACATTCTCTCCTGCCCGAGGAGCAGGTAAGCTTGCTGTCTTCTTGACCTCATTTTAGGATGTTATTGAGTTGATTTCGCCCTGCTGAGACAACTTACAGTCTTCAATAACTCCAAATTTCTCTTTCTCCCTCCCCAAAATAATAAACCCCTTTTTGTGCCAGGTATTATGGCTTTATGTGCCACTAGTTCTTACTATGACATCACAGAGATAGCGACTCGAATTCTACCAAATGTTGTTGTACTGACCATTGATCCTGACAGGTATTTCTTTTATCAAGAGTCCGTGTTAGGATAGTCCTAGTGTTTCTCCTTTGAAGTATCAGATTCTCCTTTTCATTAGAGGTTTTCTGAGTTTCACACTTTTATGTTCTAAGATGAGACATTCTTGGTCATCTACTTTTTATTGTTTTCCCTTTCATATATACAACAACTACCAGTAGAGCTGATTTGTGGTTAATGAAAGTAATGGTGGCGGCTCTCATTACAATCTTATTCCTTTTCGTGATAAGTATACTTTCATAGTTGATGCATTTAGTTACGAGGTGGGCCTCACTTATAAAGATATAACCAATGGCTCATAGAAAACTCAAAAATACAACCTGACCTTGCACTTTTGACTATTGTAAAGATATATTTCTCCATACGATGCATCCTGTTGATTTACATGAGTATACAACATGCCTGTAGTGTCTTTGTACCTCTCACGAATTTGCAATACTGGAAACCATATTTTTGTTCACCTAATCACTGGAAAATTTAATATTACTCTGTGCTATGAAACTCTGTACGGCATGTTTGTCTAATGGTCTTATAGCAGTGGTCTAGATTTGGGAGTATTTTGCGTTGTTCTTATTTCCCTATTTATAATGGCTTCTTGTCCCTGTAATGCATGGCATGACATCCTTGATAGTTCCTTTTTTTACACCTATACTTGTGTTGTTTTCATTCCCTGGGCACCTGATTTCTGCTGATTAATGAGCAATTCATTCTATTAGTTGTCTTGCAAGTATAGGTTTTTGAGATTCTCTCTCCTTTATCTGGCACAGTGATGTTCGATCGAAGGCATGCCAAGCTGTTGACCAGTTTTTACAAATAGTGAAACAATACCATGAGAAGGTTTGTAAAAGATTTTTTTTCTCAACTCTGCTTCCTGCCTGTTGGTGAAAATTATCTGCAGAATTATAGTTGCTCAAGTTCATTTGAAGTTCTAGAGATAAGTTTAATTATTCATAACGTATTCCAATTTCATTCTCTGAAGAAAAATAGATTCTATAAATAAGATCCCTGCTGTTTTACAAACTGTTTATTGTCACTAGAGATGTATCCTTTTACCTTGATTCACCCAGAAGACCTCAGCTGCATTTTCAACAGCTGATCTTAATAGTTAATATTACATGCGTCATTTGAATCGTTCTCAAATTTTAGAAGGAAGTATTTCATCTCTGGTTTTAATTGAAGTGGATGCCCGAAAAAAGTCTCATATTCTCTTGTAGTTTGAAATGCATCTCCTCATTTAACATTTGTATCCTTATGCTAGTTGGTTCATGGCTTTTTGTTTGTTCTTATTTTAGCCTGTAAATATGCTTTTTAGATGTAAGGTATTATATTTACTTCTTTTCTTTCCATGAAATTCAATGATATCAAATGCTAATTCTTAAAGGCAAAGGCTTAGCCTTACCAGGTTGACGACCTGGATTCGAGCCTTTTTTTTTTTTTTTTTCTGGGGAATGATTTGATACCCCCTTTTATTTATAGAGAGAGAGAGAGAAGGTAATTCTCTACCCATCTCCCTCCCCTACTGTTCTCTTCAGAAGTTGGATTAACAGTGTCTTTTGGTTCTTTGTAGACAAGCATGGGGGATACTACGGGTGCTTCAAGTACAGAAATTTCATCAACACCTGGAAACGCGAGTTTACTTGGGTATGTTAAGTTTGAATTTTGTCATGTTAGTTTTTTTATAGACCTGCACACTCAGCCCCTGTTGGCCCCCATTTCTTAAAACTCATTTTTCTCCGAACTCATTTTCGACCACACATTTCATAGGACCCAATTTTTCAACCTTTCAACTATACATTTCATCAACTCTTATCAAAATCTACTAAAAATCTGATTTTTATCAAAACCAAATAGGGGCTTAATCTGTTTCGTACTATTCCCAACCAAAAACATAAAATTCTCTTTTTCAATAAGCAACTGAAGGGATCCTGGGATCTTTTGTTGCATTTTTCATATTTCTTCATGTTCTTTGAAAATTGACATGGAACTTTATGATTATGTCAACTCTTGTATTGACTTGAAGATTTGATGCTCCCTAATCCAGCTATCTGATTGAACCAATCAGGTCCTAGTTGCCTCTTTTGCCAAATTATATTCTTTCCTTCCCGTGAACTAAGCTGTGTAATGTCGGGGTTGAAAATTGTATTTCTTTTTTTCTTAAACATATAATGAATAAAGATCTTCCTTAAATACATCCTCTAATCTTTCATTTGACCGAAATGTAGCTGTTTCCAGTTTTCTTAGATTTTATTTTGCATAGGAGGCAAACGCTAAACCTATTATGAATTGTGCAAGCTTATAAATTTTTGCACAAAACGTGCTATATCTGCTTGTTACAGATCTGGAATACATTTAAAAGATAAAGCAAATCATAGCCTTCTCTATAAAATATCTGAGTTACCTTTTGTGAAAAGATGACTTAATGCTATATAGCTTTCAAAAATCTATAGATAAGTTTTGTTCGACGAATCTCTTGTTTAGGAGAACCATTGTTTTGGCCCGAGCAAAATTCATCAAAATCATGTTGTCTGTACTTTACTAGGTACATATAAATTAAGATCAAGGCGATCACAACAAAACATTTCTGTTTTTACCAGTATGAGAACATGTTTTCAATTTTTCTATTTGGTTATATAAATTGATGATGCCTAAGGATATGCTAAGTTGGATTTTTCCTGACCCCATGGCATTGAGCTACAGAACTCTGTATTTTCCAATTGGTTACATTCTTTATGATTTCTAGCCACATCATATGGTCACTTAATAGAATGCAACTTGAATTTTAATAATTCTGATTCTTTTTTATAGTTTATGTGGACAAAGGTTTTGAATTGATGGTAGCGCAATTTTGATGCAGATGGGCCATGAGCTCTTTGGCTCTAAAAGGTGGCAAACCTTCTGAGCCGAGTGTTCTTGCTTCATCAAGTGCAAGTGCACCTATTGCTTCTTCAATCTCCAATGCCAGCTCCGGTGAACATTTTGCCGTTTTTATTTCGTTCACATATGTAACTTTTCTTTTAGTTGGATACTTAAATTTGTTCCAAGTGCCGTTTTTCTAGCTAACCACTAGTGTTCACTTGTGTAAATGCATCTGCCTATTTATCAGTATCTGATAATGTTTCTTGACATCATAGACTTGGATGGTGCACATGTCCCGGCAGTCCGTGGAAGTTCCGGCACAGTTTTAACTGATCAACCTGCACCTGTGTCCCCTACCTCGTCAACTGATGGATGGGGAGAACTTGAAAAAGGCATTCATATAGATGAGGGTGAAAAAGATGGTTGGGATGATGTTGAACCACTAGAAGCATCAAAACCTTCTTCAGCTCTTGCAAATATCCAAGCAGCCCAAAAGCGGCCCGTCTCACAGCCAAAATTACAAGGTACTTCCATAATCTCCTTCCAATCTTAGCTACGCTAAATTTTACGTGTTAATAAAGCTTTTGGATAGCTCATTCCATCAGCTCTTATGAATGCTGCGATGTGATATCATCCCAACCCCCTGGCCACAAGGAAGATTTGACACTCTGGTTGCACACGATAATGATTACTTGTATTAGTATATGGCAATTAGAGATTTGTAGTAATAATATTATTTAAGAAATTAGAGGCTGCTAAAGATTCAGGAAGAGTTGCTTGTCGAGTCCTTCCTTTCCATGTGCTCGGGTCATTTTCTTGCTAATGGTGTTCTTTTCTTACTATAATATAATAAAACTTTCAACTTACTGGACATTCCATTATGATTCAGTTTCGAGTTCGAGACCAAAAAGCTCATTAAAGACGCGTAAAGATGAAGACGATGACTTGTGGGGCTCAACTGCCAACCCTGCTCCGAAATCCAAGTCAAAACCTTCGAACTCAAGAACAAGCATAGTTGACGACGATGACCCTTGGGGTGCTATATCTGCCCCCATTCCAAAATCATCATCAAAGACGCGTAAAGATGAAGAAGATGACTTGTGGGGCTCAACTGCCAACACTGCTCCAAAATCCAAGTCAAAACCTTCGAACTCAAGAACAAGCATAGTTGGCAACGATGACCCTTGGGGTGCTATATCTGCCTCCGTTCCAAAATCATCATCAAAGCCTATGAATCTGAAATCTGGTGGATCAGCTGATGACGACCTTTGGGCTTCGATTGCAGCCCCTGCACCCACAACCGGATCCAAGTCCTTGTCACTGGGGCGTGGCAGAGGCTCTAAACCTGCTGCTCAAAAACTTGGTGCTCAAAGGATAAACAGAACATCATCTGGGATGTAAACATGGAATGGTATTTTGGAAATTTGTTTTGTATATATTTTCATCTAGTGACTTTTTGAGTTATAATGAACTAGTGTCTCTAGGTGTGCTGTATTTTTCTTTGAAATAACACCTGTGGGCTGTGATAATGTTGTTTTAATCAAATAGTTCTGCTTATTAAATTTATTTTTACACTGGATTAACATTTTTTGGTAATTGAACATTTTTTTTTCTTTTGGTTATTTATCTGAATCAAACAACTTGACGTTATATTCATCAGACAGAAATTTTCTTAGCACCAGCAAACTGATGTTTTGATTGCATTCCTTAAAGAAAAAGAGTTGTGAAAGTTGATGTTAAAATAGGTAACTGGGAGTGATCAGTTAGTTGCAACTTATTAGTCGAGAAATCATTTCAATACAAGAATTCTTAAGCATTTCATGTTAGATTTTTCATCCAAAGTGTATATTTTGCATTGATGTATTGTTTGCTTTCGAATCGGCTGACTTACGAGAACAAGATTTTTGGCGAGAGAGAGAAGAACTTGAAAACTGAGGATGACAAAATTACATGTAATATAACTTTTAAATTTTTTAACTCCCATTTTATCAGACCAAATATCCCATTTTATATACTTTCTTACTATATACACATCACTATTAAAATATTAAAAATTACTATTTTCATCCACGTCAAATACATTCTTAAATACAAATTTTAAGGTTTATGATTGGGAGCGAATTTAGCAGATTCAAGGGATGAATTCTAGCGACTTCAATAGATTTTCAAACACGTTTAGGAGGCGAGAGGTGTTTGGTGAGACTTACAATAAATGATGTGGCATTTAATTGCCAAGTGTGATTTCCATCCTCCATGTATGCAATGGTTAGTGACGGGAGTTTTTTGATAAGTAATAGAGTACAATGGTATAAAGTTCAATGAGTAAATGAGTTCAAGTTGAAGTACAAAGAGTGCAGGTGAAATTATAGCGAACTTCTTTATAATCTCTGACAATACTTTTTATTTTGACTGTTCAATTTTTTTTTTTTCAAGATATCATTTTAATTTCTCTCCATATATTATTTATGTCCCGTTTGTTTCTCATTTATGTAAAAATGAGAATAAAAATATAACAGTTACGGGCTCCACACAAGAGATATAAATTCGAATATGATGGCTAGATGCGATGAATAACGATCATATTTTTTATTTTAATGTAGAAATAATGGAAAACAAATGGGAACTTAATATATTATTTTAAGAATAATGTAAATGATCAATCAATTCAAATAAAATGTAAATAATTTAACAAATAAAAAGTATTAAAATCTATAATTTGATTAATTTCTCATCGACATAGCCAGCCAAATTTATCACCCTCTTTAATAGGCACACTGGTAGCTAAAGTAATTAACAAGATCTTTGCCCTTTAGACATATGCACATAATTACTATTCACAATCCCATAGAACATTTTTTCGAATTATAATTCACATTTATACAGAAAAAAAGGAAAATCGACAGAAATTGAAGCAGATGCTGTTTGGGAAAGGGATGCAGTGGGATCTGCTATGTATAAATAGAAATTTGATGAATATATTTGTCGGGTTCTTGTTATTTCTGTTTGTAGTGAGTAAACATGGAGTGGATGCATCGATCCACGAGTACAAGAACGAGGCATTTATTCCTAGGTTCAATTCGTTCTTTTTCCATGGTGGCAGTGAGGGACTCTATGCTTCCAAGATTCTTGAACCCCCTAAAATGACGACGAACGATGATAATGCTAAGCCCCTAAATGGAAAATCCTTCATCAGGTAACTAAGATTTCTGTCAAACTGATGGTTTTAACTGAGATAAAATAATGGAGAGTTTCAGTTTTTATTTTATTTATTTATTTATTTTTCATCATTTAATATTGTAACTATTTTTTCAGTGCTTTGTTTTCTGAAGGATTTTATTTTTTCTGGTGATCTGGGTGGGTTTTACGTGTTTTGTTACTGATAAATCAAATGTAGAAAATGTTGATAGAGCTCCCCCTTTAATGGATTCCTCGTTTTGTTCATTTCTAATTAAAGGTCTTACTGAGTGCTGTCTGAAGAAATTCTGTTTCTATTTGGAATTGTTATTGTATTGCGGGTGCTTTTGGCATATCAAAAATCACTGGATTTCGAGGTTATGCCTTCCAAAGCCTATTCCACACTATTTGTTGGACAATAATGAAGAAAAAAGGAAGAAAGAGGTTGGGCCTTTGAGAGTTCGGCATATTAAAAGTAATTCAATTGCTAGCATCACGAGAAAGATATGGTCTATGCATAATTTAATTTATTGAACATAATAGTATAGGTTATATTAGGGAAAAAAGATTGACACCAGATAATATGACAAAAACATGTAGTCTGCAGTTTGGTTTTATTTTTGACGATAAGCTTGTGACTCAAGTGGAAAAACATAAATCACTTAGACTTTGCAATCTCATTTTGTGAATTGTTTCTTCTTGTCCTTTCTATCTTTAGGATATTTAATATGAAAGGCGTTTTTTTATATGTGAGCCATTAGTATTGAAATTTTTCAGAATTTCTTTCTAATTTTCCTGTTAAAATGTTTTCAAAAGCCTTTAACTTTTACTTGTTTTTATTTCAGTTAGTTCACTTTTTAGTTGTACTCAATGAACTTTAGTTGGAGTGCTACATGTCACTTTTGGTGTCTTTACATGGCTGCTGAAAGATCTCTTAATCACGTGTGATTTGAATAGTTGTTACATAAATTTAAATATTCTTTACTTTCTGTTTTTGACTTTCCAGTATTTATTACTTGTATGTTTCGTAATCATTTTTAATAAATAGAGTGATCATAACAATTTATGAAATTAGATTTTTAAAAAGTTGAAAATAAGATTTATCTCTTTCCATGCCATATTGTTTCAGGTTTGAGTCTATCATATTTAGGAGACCAAAAGAGATTGCTGACAAGCAGAATGAGATGCAGCAGAGTACTGGAGTGATAGAAGCCATAGTAGTTGAGGTCAAAGACAGGGATAAGATTGGGGGTGCTTATATGAATTCTAACGCAATATGTTGCAATCCTGCCCTTGCTAAGGATTTGTCCTGCAAGTTAGGAGAGGTTATCATCCGCCAAGATTCTGATAATCCAGACTGGCCGAAAAGGCTGCAAACTTCCTTTCAGGGAAAAAATGAAGAGGCTAACATGATTCTTCAAACTGTGGAGATAAATAAAACAGGAATGTACTATCTGTACTTTGTGTTTTGTGATCCAGAACTCAAGGGCACCTTAATCAGTGGTAGAACCGTGTGGAGAAATCCGGAAGGCTATCTTCCGGGGAAGATGGCCCCGTTGATGACATTTTATGGCTTAATGTCTCTAGCATACCTTGCTCTTGGTCTATTATGGTTTCTGCGATTTGTACAACATTGGAAAGATATAATACAATTGCATTACCAAATCACCGCTGTGATTGGTCTGGGAATGTGTGAAATGGCTCTTTGGTACTTTGAATATGCAAACTTTAATGACTCTGGAAGTAGACCAATGGGAATTACGCTTTGGGCAGTAACCTTCAGTGCTATAAAGAAAACTGTCTCTCGTCTTCTTCTCCTAGTGGTTTCAATGGGTTACGGTGTTATGAGGCCCACTCTAGGAGGCATAACCACGAAAATAATACTTCTTGGTGCAGTTTATTTTGTCGCTTCAGAGGCCTTGGAGCTTGTTGAGCATTTGGGTAATATCAATGACTTTGCTGGAAAATCAAGACTCTTTTTGGTGCTACCAGTTGCACTTTTAGATGCATTCTTTATTATTTGGATCTTTTCGTCATTATCCAAAACTCTGGAGAAGCTTCAGGTAATGGTAACCCCTTTTTCCCCCTGTTCAGCATGTTGCTTACATTCCATCAACTAAATGTTATCTCTAAACTTGACCAAATATGCAAACATTCATCAATTTGGTGTATACTTTCATGCAGATTATAGAATGCACTGTGCTTCTTGATGGACATGGTTGTGCAACACGAAATAACTTACTAATATTTAGAAAATAACTTTTTGTCTGGATGCTTTCTTAATCCTGTTGTTTGGTTTAAATCTAGATGCGGAGAAGCATGGCCAAACTTGAGCTCTACCGAAAGTTTACCAATGCTCTAGCAGTATCCGTTCTTCTTTCAGTTGCTTGGATTGGCTATGAAGTAGAATCTCTCTCTCTCTCTCTCGCTCTCTCTCTCTCTCTAGTTCATAACATGAGAGCTTATGCACTTTGTCACCTTTGCTTAACTGACACCAAGCGAGCTTTAATAACCTGCAAAATCCAGATATTTTTCATCTAGTCAAATCTGGAGGGCCAATTGTTGCAAACTATGAAGCATGGAAGCCAACATGCCCACAAGTAAATTTTCAAAGAGTTCGACACAGACATGTTGGAAAAAAATTCAATTAAAATACTATAAAATTATACATATATATCTTTTCCTTTTTGTATCTTTTTTTATTTTTCAATAAAATTAATACTCGTTGAGTGAGGGTTGCATTTTGTATTACTAGTATCAATGAATAATTATTTTAATGTATCTAAAATGCTCATTATAGATATGAAATCAATTTGACATGAAGTTCATATAAACTCATCTGTTTTACTGAAATTTTAAATAATTAATTTTTTCCTAATTCTGTCGAAATTTACAAATAGGACTTCTCAATGTTCTTGACATTTGGGTTTGCGTCTGTATTATGTCAGAAACTGAAAAACGTATAGGAAGTGTAGGCAGCACCACCTGGCGTGTCCATGTCTGATGAGTCAGAATTAAATTTATATATGCAAAATATGACATGCCAGTGTAACCCTGTGGCTTGTTGAGCATGTGTATGAGCCTGTTGGTGTCCAATGTGTGCTGGAGTTTCATGCTTCGTAGGTTTGAAAGTATTTGCCAAATTATTTAATTCACAAGCTTGTCCATTTTTCTGTACTCTGTGAACTATTGATTATTAAAGCTCGCTCACCACCACTGATTCAGACATGCAGCGAAAAGGGGAGGAAATATTTTATTTTTGATTCCGTCAACACTGTAGGCGAAAAACTTGTGACTCTTGTTTCACTGGTACAGTTGTACTTCAATGCAAGTGACCCCCTGAGCGAATTGTGGCGAAGAGCCTGGATCATCCCAGCTTTCTGGACATTGCTTGCATACTTACTATTAGTGGTTATATGCATTCTCTTGGCTCCTTCACATAACCCAACGAGGTAAATCCATTTCTATACTGATACCACATATAAACGTGCGAATCACTTTAGATGTTTCTTCTGTATGTTAAAAGACTTGCATCAGCTTAAGTACCCTCAGTTTTATACACGAATCTAACAGTTACGTCAGTAAAAGAAACCAACAAATCACACCCTAATTAGAACTTCTGGTAAAAATTCTCCTATCCCATGACCTAACACAAAGTACATTAGATATTCTAGGAATTTTCTTACCTGTAATGGGCACTCTCTGGTTAGAATACTCTAATAGACTCTTGTCGGTATTCCAGCTGTGCTCTTGATTTATTGCAATATTGTCCAGCAATACAGTAAGTTTCCTGTGTTATATTTTTCTATGTTGTTACACTAAAACAAACTATGAATTGATTAATCCATGTCAAAGGACGAAATAACCACAAATGTGATATGGGTGAGTATTGGTCCAGTAAATAATTATAAGATTAATCAATAATTATGACCTAAAGCTTTAATTTAATTATTAGAGAATTTGTAGCTATTTTTTATGTGATAAATTTAATTCAATTAACAAACATAAATTCCAAAGGGACAAAATAAACATACAGGTTAAGTCAGTGATTTTGTCATCAGACTAGAGAATCAGAACACGCTACTTCGATTTTTTTTCCCCCCCGAAAATTGATCTTCTTACATTAAAATTCTCTTGATTGACTAACTTCACTTTCATGCTAGACGATGGTTTTCGTTCAAGTTTATTGTTCTTTGAATTATTAGCTAATAACTATATTTGAACCGAAAGGTTTGATTAATGGCCAAATAAAATGTCATAATCATTCTCATACAATAAACTATAGAATAAGACCATAAACTATAAAAGATGATAAATTGATAAGTTGTTGATATTTCTATGAAATTCTAGAAGAATTCTGCATAACCTTTTAAATTATCGTACAAAAAATCTTTATTTACTTTCAAAATAATTTGGTGATTGATGTAGCAAGTAATAAAACTTTGATTAGTGCTAAATTAAATATAAAGTTATATAATTACTGCTAATATATTTAGTTTCTAGACTGGAGGAGTAGAGGGCAAGGATTGTAAAAAACGATTGTAAGGTATGGAAGCTGGTGAAGAGAGGACGAGGATGGGTCTGGTAGGGCCTAAGTCAAAGGCAGAGTATGGTGGTGGAGCGGTGTCAACATGTAAAGAGGGAAAAAGCAGTTTGGTGGAGAGTGTGATGACAGGTTGGAGTCTGGGTACAATTAGCTAGATAGCAGGGGAGGTTGGGTGCGAATCTGACTGGTCTTGCATGTGAGAGGAGAGAGAGAAGGCTGATTCGTACTGAGAGGAGAAAGGAACAAGGAATAGGTAGGACTGCGATAATAAACGACAACATTTAAACTCTGAATATCTTTACAATACCTCATTGTGATTAGTTTGTTACAGTTTCTGATATAGTGTTTTAGCTATAAATTGCTGTAACAAATGGCCTATTGCATATTATTTTAAGCTAAGGTTTGCTTAAGTTAAGCTAATGAAAATTGACCATATTGAATCAAATGATAAATTAAGCCCCTGTTTGGAGGGGATTAAAATGAGATTTTTAATATATTTTTGATAAAATTTGATGAAATATGTGGTTGAAAAGTGGTGGGTCCTATAAAATGCGTGGTTAAAATTAGTTATTGATTTTGATTTAGATTAAAATCTGAATTTTAATTTCTACCAAATAGAGTCTAAATTTCCTTAAAACTCATTTTTCATTTACTCCTAGTTTCAATTATCGTGTTACTATTTGTATGTTCTTATAGATAATATCTTATACCATATGATAAAAGAACTTCTGAATATGATAATGCAAACATGTACACTAAAAGTCCTTTTTGAGAATTATGTTATACCTTTGAAATATGTAAAATGAATATTCAAATTCCTTAAGAAATCTGAAATAGATTCCACAAGTATGATTTATTAGCTTGTGTAGATATTTAAGAGCTAATCAAGAAATGGTTAGTGTTGTTGATTTTGATTTCTATAATCCGAGAAGGGGACAAAAACATAATAATGATGAGATTGATTTGAATTAACAACCTAAAACTTATAACTAATATAATTTGTAGACTAAGTGGTAGAGAAGCATTTATGAAACTCAAAGTAATTGTAAGCACTAAGATCTTGAGTTCCCATACATTCATCCATCTTAATGTCAGTTCCATAATTTGACAACATTTAGATACGAAGATCAATGTTCCTACGTTGTTTAATAATCTTTCCGAGGTACAATCAAACTTATCCTCACAGACTCACAAATGACTCGTTAATATCGTCATCTCGAATTCTAATACATGAAGATACGTTAAATAACAATAACATTCAATTAGATCATACGAAGTATAAACAATTATCACTAATGCCGTTAGGACCTTACAATGATTGTTATTTATGCTAAAATCCTATTCCTTCTCCTAGTTGTCAGTACAAATCATAAATATAATCAAATAGTGGTTATTTAATTGAAAAGCATTAAGCTCCTAGCAGTCATTCAAACCAAATTAATATTAAACTCCTATTTGGTAGAGATTAAAATTTAGATTTTAATTTAAATCAAGGTCAACAATTAATTTTAACCACAGTTCATGAGACCTATAACTTTTCAACCACTTATTTCATTAACTTATATCAAAATCAACTAAATGTATGATCTTAATCCCTACCGAACAAAGGCTGTGTTGTACCCTGGAATTTAATATGAAAACATTAAAACGTGAGATTCAACGTTATCCTAGCAAATATGCAAATAGCCAAGTATCATAAGATTACAAAAACACAATTCGAACCAATATAACATTGCCCGGAATTAAAGTTTGGAAAATATTCTTGAATCTTAAATCTTTAATGGTTCTTGAATTATTTTCTTTGAACTTCTTCTTCAAAACCAAAGAAAAGATGTATAATTTGATATAAGATAGGTGTTTTGTATCAAAGGCTTCTTTAAAGCTTGCAGGAAATATGGATATGTTGATTTCATTTTGCTCCTTTTTACAAGAAATAATGTATAATTTGTCTAAGAGCCTTCTAAGCTTCCCCTGTGAATTGTAGATGAAGAATGGTATTTATAACCCAAGAATTAGGTCAAAAATTATGCCCCAATTACATTCCAAGAAGATGTTGAATCAAATTAAAAATTCGAAGCTTTGATGTCAGATTGGCCTGTGCGATCGAACTATGTAATGGGATGCGATTGTAGAGCCATTGATTTGAACCTGCAGGTAATGACAATTAAGCCTTGTGATTGCTAGGCGCTGGGGTTTCCCTTGTTGCACTTTTGTCCGTAAATTTCCTTATTTGCACTGCTCAAGTCCATGCCTAATTGCATCTTTTATCCTTCATCTTTAAATCTTCATGATTTGGTCATCTTTCTCTACAATCATCCGTAGTTGATTCGATACAAGTTTCAAAAGTTTGCAATTATGCCCCCAAACTTTTCGAATGTTGGATTAAATCTCTTCCAATTGCTCAATTAATGCTTCCATTTGATCATATGCAATCTTGTTGATGATCAATTGCTCCGAATAAACTCCAATTAAGCTTCAATTCCCTCCTTTTTTTCATGTTGTTGCATCCAAATGCACTCAAGGGATTTACCTACAATTAATATAATTTTCTGTTAATTAGATATATGCTCAATTAGTAATAAATAATCAAGTATAGAAGCCCGAATAAGTGTATAAGAGACACTTATTGGTAACATCAAATACTTATTTTCTTTTATTATCTATTATACATTTTTTTTCAAGTGAGTTACAGTTTTTTCAATCATTATCATGGAATATATTAGACCAAAAAACGAATATTCATGAACTAATTAATGGCAAAGCCCACATTAAGTGAGAGAAAGAACTAATTGTGTCGAAGCGAAATTTAAATTCTTGAAACATGAAAAATTTTAAAACTCAAAAAATTGAAGAATATAATATTATTATATTGAATCGATGATTGAAAAGTTTACAAAGCTTTTGTTTATAAAGAGAAATAATTCACTAATCATACCAATATAAGGAAACTAAATAATTTTACTGAAAGGGAAGAAAACTAAAATCCTAAAAGGAAACAAAATTCTAATTTGAAAGGAAACGCAATAAGCGTCTTCTATCATATCTCTATTAGGATCGTCCTACATCATTCTTCTCACTTGAAGAAAACTTGTCCTCTAATTTGGTTGAAGAATAGAAAATTAATCAATGGGAGAAAAATACACCAAAAGTTGTCATCACATTGCTAGAATTTTAACCTAGCTTGGGCTTGAAGAAAATATCTAGCCACCTTCTTCAAACCTACCCATCCTTTGCTCCATATTCTAGACCGAGGGTGGTTGTTTTGCAATCCTCCAAACATTATCGCGAGGATGCATGCCACTACCACCATAGGTGGGGCCATTAGCCAAGGGCAAAAACTTACTCTAATACCAATTTTATTTCGAAAGCAGAATTAAAATACTTGAAACAAGAAGTTGAAAAACTCAAAAATTTGTAAAAATTTATTTATTGTATTGAACTGACGATTGAAAAGGGTACAAATCCGTTTGTTTATGCAGGCAAAAATATTTCCTAATCTTACCAATAAATGTAAACTAAATAATGTTTCTAAAAAGAAGAAAACTAAAACTGTAAAAGGAAACATAAACTTATTGTAATAATAAGCGTCTTCTAAGGGGGATAATGACTCAGGGGTCGAAGCAGATAAAGAGATGGGACATTGGTCTAACGTAGGGGAGTCGAATATGGTGAATTTGGAGTCGGAGACATTGGGTATGACGGACATGACGCTAGCTGACGGATTATTATCGGCTGCGAAAGAGACGGGACATACATTAGTTGATGATCGAGCTTTAACTTAACTGAAAGAATACGAGGAGACATGTTTAAACACCTTGGTTCAGAACACATATAAAGGCATTCGAAGCCCCTAAAAGAAAAGGAATTAGGGACTGACAAAGCTCTAGTGTTGTGGGCAGATGGCGC